ACAGCTGTCAAACCGTATGTTTCTGCCCGAATATAGGCTCACTTTACGTGTCTCTTACCCCAGTCAGAAATAGTTCCTCAAAAAGATGTCGTTTTAATGAAAAAGTTGTCGATTTAAAACTTGCATTGAAATTTCATTTTCGAGTGACAAAAAATTACGTATGTAGAGAGTACAATGAGAGTTTGATACATTTTTAATATTTTTGGTATAAATTTGTGATACGTCATCTTATATTTTGAATATTTTCATTCAAAGGTCGAATCGACATTTTTTTCGATTTCATTTCAACAATTGCAATATCGCTCTAATCATAAAAGCTTTCTCAAGAATTTATAAATAATTTTATAACTTTTTAGAAAATTGTGGAATTTTTTTATATGAATCGGAATATTTTTTACAACTATCAATAAAATTTACAGTCTTTTCTTCTAGTAATTCTTTATATCTTATTTTATTGTTCTACTCCTGCTGAATAACATTATTTTATTTGTACTTTGTAGTTTATTTAATATAATCTTATTACTTTTGTATTGAGGAATTTCAGGGAATAATGTCTCTTATCATAAATAAGCACGAAATCAAGGAAAAATATTATCGACTCTATCTAGCTAATTCTAACTCGAATCGATATCGAAACAATTTCGATTTTTAAAGTAATGAAATTTAAATATTGTCTATCATACAAGTTTCCATTTAAAAATATAAAAATACTACTAGTGTCATTGCTACTATAGCGTATCAGTAGTAGTATTACTACTGATACGCAATAGTGTCAATGCTGAGTCAGTAGTGTTATTACTGCAGTAGTATATGACGATATATGACATAACACAGAACTACTTTCAATAATTGTAATATTTGGTATAAAAAATTTATTAGAGTAAATATATATCATTAGAGCAATTAATATTATGTCAGCTAATAAAAATAATATTTTATAATATTATTAAAAACAAGTTATTATCATATATAAGTGTCATTTGTACATTACTATTATATTTAACATTAATTATATTTTTTTATGTGTTCTGCCTCTTTCACAACATCTTTGAACAGATATGTTACTATACATTCATTAGCATTATAGATGTTCATGATTCTTCGAAAGAGCAATTTCCGCTCCAATCACAGAAATGAAGCATGGTAAGTAGAGATTTGGATGAGTAACTACGCATGGAATTAGTTCTCATCATGAAATTAGTTTTCGAATTCATAAAATAAATTTTTTTTATTATAATTTTGTCATATATCCTCTGAAATATGCTAATCAATAATACTTATACTTATCAATAATACTTATTTTCACAATAAAATTTCAATGAAACTTTAATGAAATTTTCTCCATTATTACGTTATTAATGACACTACTTGTCGAATTTACTTATTACATTAGTAGTATGTATTAGTATGCATTAGTAGTATATTTGACATTAGTAGTATATTTTTATGCTGACTAGATCAATTTAAGATTTTATTTCCAACTCAAAAATTAATCGAAATTGAGCCAAAAATCCATCAAAATCAATAGAAAACTAGAATTTCGAAAACTTTCGACTTTTATTTTCGACATTAAAACGATGTCTTTTCGAGAAATTATTTCTGATTGAGACTGACTTTCAAAGGAGGAAAGCATAGTTTTTGTCGATTTTCACAAGTATTTTAAAGTGACCTTGTCATTTAGATCCAAATTATCTTTATTTACAGATGGCATGCAATATAAATTTTTTGCTTTTGACGTCACAATTCCAATATGGCCGCCGCACTACTCAGAAGCCTTATACATGTATTCATAGTCTTTCTTGAGGAATTCTTCATTTTATGTTTCATAAACTTTCCTTGACCAAACAAGGAGCTTTATTAGCTTCCTTTTCTCAAGGGAGATTTCAAGTTTCCTTGAGCTTTCATAATCAAGCAATCTCTAAATTTAATTCGCCGTACCGGTCTTTTCACTTTCAATAACACTTTTAATTTAAATCTGATGCATCGATAATTATTTTTGATAGCTTTTTGTCGGAAATAAACTCCTCTAAAGACATTTTCTCCTTTGTATAATAAACATTATTAGCGAATTCGATTAGAAGCACTGATGCATATTAAAACCGTTGTACACTAATTTGAGTATAAAAATAAAATGCAAATATTTCGAATTATAAAATACAGATTTTATCTAACAGTACAATAAAATATATTAAATATTTCATAATCGAATTTAATCGATTTCTATGTTTATTTATAAACATATATTTACGTTATTTGTATGTACGGCGGTTTTAATGTGCATCAGTGCGCAATGAGTGCGTCCAATCAAATTCGCTATTAGTTTTATTTTTGTCCAGTATTATTGCAAAATGTTTAATCACAATCTTATTTAATCAACAATGCCTTTATAACTTTTATTATTCGTAATTCATGATATTAGATTTGCATATACTATATATTATGACATGCTGTCTTCAGTAGGTTACTAAAATATTCCTTCCTTCAGGAAGATAGACTTGAGATCTATTTATAAAACAAGGAGGCGTTGAAGAATCGAGAAATCTTTCATGAAGGCTTCTTTCATTCTTAAAATAAAAAAGGACTATGGTCAACGTAATGCTGCAAATGCTTTGAAGCGTTTTTTAACTGATCAGTTTATAAAATTCTTTCTTTTAATTGGTCTATCAAATGCTTTAAGCATTTGTAGCGAGACTTTGACTACAGTCTACGAATACGGGTGTAAGAGTACGGACAACAGAGTAAATGAGGCAAAACCGGAAATCGAAACGTAAATGCATTTTTAAATGTGAAATATAAAACTGAAATTGTATGTACAATGAATGCGTTTAGGATATCGATTATGTAAAGTTTCCCCTAGGAATGAATACAAAAAGTGAACAAATTCATGAATGTAATGAATAAGCGATGTAATGAATAAATAACTTTTGGCTGTTATAAAATATGAAATAGTTCACGGGAAATTTTTTGGCAAGTAACGAAATGCCTAAAATGTGAAATTCTAGTTATTTTTTTAATAAATTGATATAAAGCTAGCTTGTTTTTCAATCTTTTGGTCTATTTTTTGTTCCTACATTAGACTGTATTAGAACGTTTCTCGTTTCGATAAATATCAAATATTAAACAAACAAATATCAAATATATTTGAATATCTATTTGAAATATATATTTAAAATGGATATTGCATGTTTTTCGCCATGGTGCGAACGAAGAAGAAGAGCATGCAGTTAACTGGCAAAAACTGGCGCATATTAAGAAAACGTTTGCGTGATGTTAAATTAAATATATGAGTAAAAGATAAAAATATGAAGCATAAAAATCCCACGAAAATTTAAAAATGAGAATTATAATAAAAAATAGAGATTTATGAAATAGATTAAAAAAATAATCTTTTTCCATTCAAATGAAGATTTCTCCGGAACAATTTAAGGTTTGTGCTGTGTTCTGCCATACATTTTTCTACGAGTTTTAAATACATATTGTTTTTTTACTACAATCGAGAATAAGAGTAATGAAATAACATGTTTTTACTAACTATACGGCTCTGAGAATTTCGCGACACTCTTCTCGCACAATATCCAAATTTTTTGACATTACGTTTAACAACATTTCTTTTTGTTTTTAAGTTACATTTATTGTTATTCTATTATATAAGGAACAAATAATGAGCACAATGTGATTTCCTATCAAAATACGTGCCTGCTGCACAGGCTTGTGAAAAAATTTGCGCTATTTACGGTGAAGATACTCTATCAAAATCAGCAGCATGGAAATGATTCGCTCGCTTTCGTGCTGAAAATTTCAATGTGAAAGATGAACCTCGCTCCGGTTGACCAATCACTGAAAAGTCCGATGAAATCATGGTAAAAGTCGAGCGTGATAAGCATATGAGCACTGTGGAGATTGCCAGGGAACTAGGTATCGACCACAAAACAGTTTTAAATCATTAACACAAAGCTGGATACAAAAAGAAGCTCGATGTTTGGATCCTCACGAGTTGAGTATTAGGAACATGATGGACCGAATTAACATTTGTGATACGCTACTGAAACGGAATGAAATTGAGCCATTTCTGAAGAGAATGATAACTGGTGATGAAAAATGGATCACCTACGACAATCCAACTAGAAAAAAATCGTGGATAAAGAAAGGAGAGAAGATGCAAACAATTGCAAAACCTTTTTTGCGATTGACAAGGAAGAAGGTAATGTGTGGGACTGGAAGGGAATCGTTCACTATGAGCTGTTATCGTCCAATTAAACAATTAATTCCGAACTCTACTGTGAACAACTGCAGAGATTACAACAAGCAATTGAGAGGAAGCGGCCAGAATTAATCAATAGGAGAGGTGTCGTCTTCCATCATGACAACACTCGACCACACATCTTTGATGACTCGGCAAAAATTGCGAGAGCTTGGCTGGGAAGTTTTAATGCATTCACCGTATAGTTCTGACATAGCACCCTCAGATTATCATTTGTTTAGGTCTCTGCAGAACTCTCTTAATGGTGTAAAACTAGCTTCAAAAGAGGCCTGTGAAAATCACTTGAAGCAGTTTTTTGATCACAGAAGTTCTATCGCGATGGAATTATGACTCTGCCCCAAAAATGGCAAAATATTATAGAAAATAATGGATATTTGGTTTAAATAAATTGATTTCAATACTCTAAGAAAAACACTTTAATTTTACTAAAAAATCGCCACGAATGTTTTCTCATATCCAATAGTATGAAAATGAAGCTTAAAAATAAGATTTTAGGGAGTATTAATTTATAACAATGTTATACAAGAGTATGATGTATAAGATATGAGGATTGGATAAGCTAAAAGAATACACTAATAACAGCGAATGTTCACTCAACTGTTGAGTCCGCTGAATTGATTGGCGCCCAATTGATTGGCGACCCAGCTCTGCCAGTGAAAAACGTTATCAATGCGTATGCGCCAGAAAAGGGGCATATTCTAGCAACATTGGCTTAATGTTTGCTGCGTTCCATGCATCCGATCTGAGCATGAATGATTAAGCATTAATAATCTGATATGAAATATAAAAATATTGTTCGAATTTGAAATTGTTTTTATTGGAACCGAGTTATATAAGTACTACTAAAAACAAAATATATACGCTATTCTATAATACGCATTTCTATAATAATTATAAATTAATAAATAATGGCTGATGAAGATTTCGATGGAGACGAGTAAGTTATCAAGAATTGTTTGAGGTGTATAGGTTACTTATATCGCATTCTTTAGTTAAATAGTCAAACTTGTTTCTTTTTTATTACAGTTATTCTTTATCATAAGTTAGAAAGCGCTAGAAAAAACTTGACTAGAAAAAACTAAATACAATTTATATAGATAGATTACTTGTTTGTAATTAATTTAAGCTAATTTAACTGTATTCTGTAGAGTCGCAGATGATTTCGACGATGTAGATGACGAGGATAATATTGAGTTAGAACCTCAGGAAGATGATGGTGAAAACATCGAATTGTTGAATGCTAATGAAACTTCTGGTGGTGTTCAAAGATCAAAGAGAATAACGACGAGATATATGACGAAGTATATAGTTTGTGTGTGTGTGTGTGTGAATAAAAGTTTCTCAAATAGTGAATAGTTTCTCAAATATGTAATTGATGTTTTAGATATGAAAGAGCAAGAGTTCTTGGTACAAGAGCATTGCAGATAGCAATGTGTGCTCCTGTGATGGTAGAATTAGAAGGTGAGACAGATCCATTGCAAATTGCTATGAAGGAATTAAAGCAACGAAAAATTCCTATTATTATACGCCGCTACCTGCCTGATAATAGTTACGAAGATTGGGGTATCGATGAATTAATTATAATAGATCATTAATCTCAACCTCAAAGCAAATTATATTGTTTCTTGACAACTACATTTATTATTGATACAATAAAAAAAAAATCTTGTTCTAAGTCATTATTTTTAAATTGTATCGTAGGCTATTAGATTCTTCCTTTTTTTATTTCTTGATATCCTTTGGACAGATTACTTTAAGGTTTTATACTTAGGCTATATTCCAAAACGTCTTCTCCAAGAAAGATTTCACTCTATAGTATTTCGAGTAAGAAGGAATTTTTGGAACGTAGCCTTGGTACCTTATAGTTATTGCTATTCTACAATTGCATTACAATTAATGGAACATCAGTTCTCTCAGTATATTCATATAATTTTACATTGCATTAATTAATAAAAGTTTTATTAGACTTACAAAAATTGAATTGGTTACATTTTTTTAAATAAAAAAGGTAAAATATCATTTAAAAGTATCATTCCAATTTCCAATATGATTTTGATATGAATATGAATTGAAATCGATGTAGAGAATAATATGAAATTAATAAAACATGAATCAATAATGACATTGAAATATTATTAATAATTATTAAAGACGTACGGTCCTGGGCGAATTTTTGTAACTCTTAAGTGACAAGTATTATCAATGGTGTTTGAACTTACAAGGCTCGCAAAAATTGAAGAATTACTTATATATGCCGTAAACTGTTAACTTATGTCATGAGCTAAAAAATTGACTATTCAGCCAAGTGTTAGGAGAATAATTGATTTCAGGGTACTTCCTCATGATAGTCGTGAAGAGAATTTCAGATCTTGCTTAAAGTTAAAATAAAGTTGATGTGATAAGATTTTAATCATTTAAATCACGGAGTTACTATTAAAAACGGCCGGCCTTACTGAAGTAGAGGAACAGAATTTTAAGCCAACTTCTTTCGCCAATTCCGATTAATTTTCAAATAGCGCACTATATATTTGATTTGAGATTTTGAAGCGCATAGGTGTGTGTTACCTCAATGTTTTCAATCGCATATAACTTTCATATACCTTCACATATAATGCACAGAATTGGAACAATTTTTTTAAAATTTTTCATTGGTAAAAGATCACAAAGAAGAAGGAATAGGTGTGAAAATTGAGAAATTGAAAATATTCAATATATTTAGAAAAAAAAGAAAAGAAAATGTTTTAATTCGTAAAAAATAAGGTTTTTTTTTTCGTAGTTTCAAGAGGAAAACTGTTAGGATACAATCCCATGAGGCATATTTGCCGCGTATCGCGTAACCACGTAATCAATCAATAAAACGAAATCACAATTCGCTTTTGATTGGTTACGCGTTTATGCAATACATGATAATAAATACACCTCATGGGACATTCTTAAGGAGATTTTTCTAGCGGAATTTCAAATGCAATCGAACATAAAAAAAATATCATTATTTCGATTATTTTCAAAAAACATTTTCATTATATAGAATTCAATAATTTAATAAATAAAAAACAACTATGGAAAATTCCCATTTGATTCCTCGGAACCCTACTATGATGGAGAATTAATAATACAGGGGATATAAAACTTTCACTTTCAATTTCTTCACTGTGACTGACATATATATATATATATATATATATATATATATATATATA